CATCATGTTTCTATCTGATCAGTGTGTGTAATGATGTACCAGTTAGTGTGAGTTTCTCATCTATAGTGTCCTTCAGTTGAGTCAGAGCTCTCCTCAGAGTCTCCAGACTCTCATGAGTCTTCATACTGATCTCAGGCCAGTTCCTGCTGTTTCTAGGGCTGCACAGGGATGAGGGAATCTACAGCAGGAGAGAGGAGAAATCCTTCAGCATGGGGAGTGTTCTGGTGTCATATGCTGCATTATCATTGATCAGAGAGATCATGTTGACTGACCTGTAGGAGGTGGAGGTGATCTTCAGTGTGTGAGAGCTGCTCCAGCTCAGTGTTTCTCATCTTTAGCTCAGTGATCTCCTGCTCCAGCTCTTCAATCAGCTCTTGCTCCTGTTTCTCTGCTGCTTTCTGCTGCTCCTCCATCATCTCCAGCAGTTCAGTATAACGTCTCTCAATGGAGCGATGAGATCAGTGAAGAGCTCGACACGGGCTGCTTTCTCCTTCTCTGTGTTTCTCTGGTCAACCAGGACACACAACAAATATTAGCTGTGTTTATTAAAAGAAGAATCTGTGTAACTATTGCTCATACATTTTTTCCCCACATACATAGGCTACATGTGTTTTCAGAATCCCTCGAATGAAGTATTAAACTTCACCCTGAACCCTGGACGAGAGCAGAACAGGCCCTGCACATTTTAGTTGTTGTTTTATTGTTGTTGCTATATATTTAAGTGTGATAGTCATCTGTGAGGGGCTGTCACTCATTTTGTTTGATTGTTTGTTTATTTAGTGATTATGTCTGCCGGTTCTTGCCTCTTTCTTCCCTTAACATTGAAGTTTGTTGCAATAATAAATATTTACATTTATTATATTATTTTAAACTCACTTTTCTGACTTCTGCTGAGTGTTTGACGTCTTGAATCTTCTTGATTGTGTTCTGGATCATCAGCTGCACGGCTTTCTGTGTCTTCATCAGTTCAGTCTATAGAGAGAACAACACAGACACGTTTATCATAACACAGATTAAACTCACAAACACAATCAAGAAGATTCAAGACATCAAACACTCAGCAGACGTCAGAAAAGTGAGTTCAGTTCATTAAAATTAAATGTTATACGTCATTTAGTTGCATCTTTACAAGTGTCCTGATATACAGTCCAGACTTTTCACTGTTTGTGTCACTCAGCTTGTCTGTGCTTTGTAGCAAATTATCTCAAAAGGGAAATATGTATAATTAATTATAATGGCTTTCAGAATTAACTGTAGCAGAATTAATGTTACAATTATTTAGTTTGTTCATCCACCGAGGAGACCGTATAATCATTTATCAGCTCTAGGAAAGATAAATGATTAAGAAAGAATAGTTTTCCTACTGTTCACAGCACTAGCAGTAACTCATCATGCAGCAAGATCAACGTTCAAACTGTGAGCAGCAAACACAATAATAAACATTACTATGACTAACATACTACTAAACTAAGCAAAACACATACTTACACAATGAAGAGAAGTAAGGAAAGAGAGAGAGAAGAACAAAGACTGGCAGTGTTTAAAGTCAATGATCCAGATGCGTGTAGAGAATGAAGAGTCTTCATGAGTTCGTTAGGTGAGCTGGTTCTCATCAGGTTCTTCCAAGATCCACAGATCCAAGATTCACGGAGAATCGACAAAGTTACTTGAAGATAAAACTGCCGGAAGATCAGACTCAATGGGGATGAATCTTGGCGAGCGTCTGTCTCAAAGAGCTTGAGCCCTGATGGGTTTGGGTAGAGATCTTTTAACCTCCCTAACTCTCACACCTATCCCTGCTGGACTGACCAATGCAGAGGTGTGAATTTTGAGTGGAAAATGTTTCTTTGTTTTGCCCAACACCTTCCTTTGCATGTCTATGGGGTCTCGTGGACGTGTGCAGTATTAAAGCAAAGTGTAGTAAAAAGAGTAAGATGCAACATGCTATACCCCATTATAGGGCTCACAAGAGGGTTATTTTGAGTCATGCCAGGGTTGGAGAACATTAAGGCAAGGATACAAGCACTTCACTAGCGCAACTACAAATTCATAACTAAGATAATATAACCTAGGGACATTCATACAACACAGGAATACATTATATACATTTTGGGACAGTTTGTGGATAAATGGAGCCAATGTTTATTGTTGGTTTCTAAATCTTGAAACTAAGTCAATCAAATGGTGATGAAGGGGAATGTCTTTGAAGCTCGAAGAGAAGGCAGAAAACTGTCCTGGTTAGCATCAGTAAAGATAGCAGAGGCGATAACGATCTTTGAGCAAGATGTTGAAATTAGACATGCTGGCATCAAGCCTATGTTTTCATTCTAAAAAGAAGAGGCAAAGTTTGCAATCCCTGAGACATGATCCTGCATCAGCTACAGTTTGTTCCAGACTGTCAGTCTGTGTGTTAGTGATGGGGATTTTACAGCCACTCTTTCTGCAGGTTACATCGTTACACCAGTAGGTGGCGAGTCATTCGAGTGAGTCATTGATAGAGTCATTCATTCAAATGATTCATTCAAATAAATTTATTCATTCAGGAACAAATTACTTTACTACGGAGCCCCTAAAGGGACCTTTGCCAAAATAAAAAATACACAGACTTTCGCGTATGCACGATAAACTTTTCTGACAAACGCACGCACTAAATTGTCCGGATTATGTAAACTATAACCTATTTCCTTTGTGCATCACTGCAACTGTACTGTGAAGAAAACGGTAGTATGGGTGCACATGAATTAATAAAGGCCTATTTGCTCCAATTTTGGCTTTTTTAGGGCAGTATACCTCTAATATCACGGCTGGTGTATGTCCGCTTTAACGCACGCTCTGTGATGGCTCAATATAGCTGTGAGCATTTGCCAAGTTCAAGGGTCCATAAAAAAGACTGACTGTCAAAAGGTGCTCAGATTTTGGCTTTTGTTAGTGCAGTGCGTCATATTTCAAGGCCTTATGTCCTCTTTAAAAAATTGTACTCTGTGCATTGTCCTATTTTCTCAGTTCAATGGTTCATAAAAAATTATTGGTTGTTAGGGCAGTATATAGTGTATATATATATATAGTTCCGTAAAACTTCAGTGGCCAATTAAAGAAAACATTTGTATGGTAAATTGTTAAAATATTAGTATTTCACAAGATCAAAACATCCTTTATTAAAGCACTTTGTCAGATTTAATGCATCCTTGCAGATGACGGAGAAATGCTGAGTTTATTCATTTATTATAGCAGCGCTATATATGGACAAAGTGTCTCGTTATATAAAGGCGCTTCAGTAAATGACAAAGGAATAAGGAGCTGGATTCAGCCTCATTCTCTATAAACTGCTCTAATGGAATACAAAATTAAAGCTCAATACACACAGCCGTATTGCGCCATCAAAGATTCTCGTGCGTGTCAGGATCGTGGACTGGCTGTGTCATGTTTTGCCCCTGTTTCTGTTCCCTTATTTGGTCATGTTCCTGTCCTCATTTTGTTAATTAGTTTGATTATGATTCCATGCACCTGAGTTCCCCTGAGTTTGTCCTCTGTTTATAAGCCGCAGTCTGTTCAGTTTGGTTTTGTCCGGTCTACTTGTTGAATGTCTTCCTTGTTCTCTGTCTCCCCACTGGATTATTAAAGACTATTGTTCATGCGAACTCCAGCGTCTCCTCATTCCTCGTTTCCTCCAGGAGAGATTGTGACAGTGCGCACGCGAAAGTCTTTGTATTTTTTATTTTAGCAAAGGTCCCTTTAGGGGCTCCATACTTTACATTCTGTTGTGGCTTTGTTTGAAACTCTTTCAGTAGTCGGTGTGAATACAGACAAGGTAGCTGACAATAATGTGTCTAAAATTTAAGATACTTAACTTCTTGTTTATTGAATTGTTGTATAAAAGCAATATCATACTCTAAATTGCGCTGTTGGTCTGAATATCAACACGACTGTGATTACCAGATCACTTTTATATTATTTTATTTATGGTTTTGAAGTTCTTAAACACAGAAAGAAAAAACAACAACAGCTGAATTGTCTCAGTTAGCAATGAATACAGAGCAATTATTGAAAATACTTAAGATAAACACATTTTAAAAATAATTATTGCTTTATAAACCAGATAATTTACAAAGTAGAGGAAACAAATATATGGGAAAAAAGAAAGGGTGTTACAGAATATACCATCATTAGAAATCTGTTTGGTGAGATAAGCTCACTAAAACATAACAGTTTTAGAATAATATAGTCCAGTTAAGAAGTATTACCTTTTTGGCTGCAATCATGTCCATCATTAGAGTCTGCTGGTGTGTGGTCAGGTTGAATGTTTATTCCATATGCTCCTGAAAACAATTCAAAAGATATTTGACCAGAAATCATACAAAATACAGCAAAACCAAAATAAATGTGCCAATGTCCCTTCTGCCATCCTGCACCTATCACACTGAGGTGATATGAAGTTTATACTTCAGTTGAGGGATTTTGAAACTCCTTAATAGTGACACAATTTTTTTCCTTTAGAGATATTATACTGAACTGCTGGAGATGATGGAGGAGCAGCAGAAAGCAGCAGAGAAACAGGAGCAAGAGCTGATTGAAGAGCTGGAGCAGGAGATCACTGAGCTAAAGATGAGAAACACTGAGCTGGAGCAGCTCTCACACACTGAAGATCACCTCCACCTCCTACAGGTCAGTCAACATGATCTCTCTGATCAATGATAATGCAGCATATGACACCAGAACACTCCCCATGCTGAAGGATTTCTCCTCTCTCCTGCTGTAGATTCACTCATCCCTGTGCAGCCCTAGAAACAGCAGGAACTGGCCTGAGATCAGTATGAAGACTCATGAGAGTCTGGAGACTCTGAGGAGAGCTCTGACTCAACTGAAGGACACTATAGATGAGAAACTCACACTAACTGGTACATCATTACACACACTGATCAGATAGAAACATGATGTACTCAGTTCTTTAAATATAACATTAAGATCTGCTGATGTTTTCTTGTCATTAGTCTCTACAGAGCTGAAGGTGATGCAGCAGTATGCAGGTACAGTGTGCTGTCTGCACTACACTAGTTTACATTCATACACTCACAGCTTCATTACTGCTCTACAATCTGATTAAACACTGGATTAATTAAAAACATCAGCATCAAAAAATATCTGTGTATTGTGAAGTTGTGACTGATATTCTGTGTTTTCTCAGTGGATGTGACTCTGGATCCTGATACAGCTCATCCTGATCTCATTCTGTCTGATGATGGAAAACAAGTGAGAGATGGAGACATTAGACAGAAACTCCCAGACAAACCAGAGAGATTTGATACGGGACACTGTGTCTTGGGAAAGGAGGTATTCTCGTCAGGGAGATTTTATTTTGAGGTGCAGGTGAAGGGAAAGACTGAATGGGATTTAGGAGTGGCCAGAGAATCCATTAACAGGAAGGGAGAGATCACACTGAGACCCAGTGATGGATACTGGACTGTGATTCTGAGGAATGGAGATGAATATGAAGCCTGTGCTGGTCCTTCTGTCTCTCTGTCTCTGAGAGTGAAGCCGCAGCGGGTCGGTGTGTTTGTGGATTATGAGGAGGGTCTGGTCTGCTTTTATGATGTGGAGTCCAGCTCTCATATCTACTCTTTCACTGCTCAGTCTTTCACTAAAAAACTCTTTCCATTATTTTGCCCATCCTTAAACTATGGAGGTAAAAACTCCAGCCCACTGATCATCACACCTGTCAATGATAATAAATGAATTTGCACTACTAATATGAAATACAAGATTAAAATAATGATTCTTATAAGTAAAAATCTGACAACATCATGTTGTCGTGCATGCTGCGTATTACTGATATTAACTATATAGCTCCGCATTATCGTCCGGGCAGAACTATTGTTCCAGCCACCAAAGACAGATTCACAAATAACCTTCCTGATTTATCTCAACTGCTCTGTGTACCCATAAGTACACATGAACTAGACGAAATAACTAGCAACATGGGCACTATCTTCTCTAATACATTAGAAGCTGTTGCCCCCATCAAATTGAAAAAGGTTAGAGAAAAACGTACTGCGCCATGGTACAACAGTAATACCCATTCTCTCAAGAAAAAAACTCGTAGTCTTGAGCGCAAATGGAGAAAAACTAACTTGGAAGTTTTTAGAATTGCGTGGAAAAACAGTATGTCCAGCTATAGACAGGCTCTAAAAGCTGCCAGGGCCGAGCATATCCACAAACTCATAGAAAACAACCAAAACAATCCTAGGTTTTTATTTAGCACAGTGGCTAGATTAACAAATAACCAGACGCCACCCGATCCAAATATTCCCTCACAAATGATTTATGTTCAACTTTTGATAAATATCCATGCCATTTTTTTTCCAACTTCACCTGAGAAAGTGAAATTGCCTCTAAAATCTAAAAAAAAAACTAAACATGGTACCCTCAATAAATTGTTGTAAATTGTTATATCAAGGCAGTTTGTCTGTTACAAAATGTTCTGTGATATTACTGTGAAAAATAAGATGGTAATATCTTGATATATATCATAGATATTTTACTATAAAAAATACAATAGAATTATACATAAGTGAATTAAGTTCTATTTTACACATTTGAAACCGTATAAAGAGGTGTACTGTGTGTTTTGTTTAGTTTTTTTCTGCTGTCAGGACAAAATAGAGACGATTCTTTTAAATCTTTTTTAAAGTAAACCAGTCACAGTAATAAGTGTGTCCTTCTCCATGAAGTTATGAATAACAATAACCACTTGTCATGAAACTGTAAAGTAACCCAGACAATGTTTAAAACACGTTTTGCACCGTTTTGTCGGGGCTGAACGCAGCACTGATTTAAACATGATTCCAACTATAATTGAATGAATTTTACTGAAGTAATTTGTATATAATTTGTTATATTTTCTCTCAAATTTTATTTCTTTCATTATATATATATATATACCAGATTCACTACATAGGTAAATGTAGTAAAATTATTATTTCCTTAGACTGCAAATTAACTAATTTGAGTCTGGGTTACATGTCTTTTTTAAAGTTTAAAAGCAAATCAGAGATTTTAGAGCACGCACGCAATAAGCCTTGATTAGACTGACAGGACAGCTGATTTGGTGGTTGCCTAGCAACATAAAAAACCGCAGTACATTACTCTTTTCTAAATTTAAAAAAAGTCAATAAGACCGTTTTCAGACCTTATAAAAGCCTTCTGTCTGATTGTTGCCTAACTCTATCAAATCAACATGACAACTAAATACTTGTGGGAACTAGAACAAAGGAAACTAAATAGGCTAAAAGCAAACTACTAGTCTTTGAAAATGAAACCAAGACAAAAATAACTGAGTATATGTTTAAATAATAAACTATTTATGTTGGACTTTAGGAATGCAGTTAACCCCTACTAGTTGATTTTATAAGGAGATGATCTAGAATGGTCTAGTTATAATATCCATCAGTAGGGTCTAACTGTCTCATGCAAACCAGCCAATTGACTTTACACCTGTATTTTCATATTTATTAAGATGACTTCTTGTTCATTTTGACATAAAGCAAATACTGATCTTTGTTTTAGGCCAATATTTTGACTGCACACACAATAAATACTTTAAAAAAATAGACAGATTAAAATATTTAAACTGTGTCAACAATCCACTTAACTTTATATGCTATACACATAACATCCTAATTAAAGAAATAGTTTAAACATTCAGGATTAGACTGTAAAAAGCATTTAAATGTCCCGAAAATCAATGTTATCATCATTAACTGTTAACTCTTTTGTCATTTGAGAATATTATATATCTGTATTACAAGCTCAAGCTAACATGCTGCAATTACAATGCAAAACCCCTGAGTTCTCAACTTCCTTGACCAAAAAAAAAAGAAAAAAAGTTTCTGAACAGTTATGCATGTGACCACCGCTTCCACAAGATGTTGTTCAACAGAAACTAGTCATAGTCACATAAAGTTGTGAAGATGGCAAGTGTTGTGAGATACAGTTTTCTATTGATTGGTATCTTTTTAAGAAGCACTTCGTGGGCAGACTCAATGCTGCAAGGTATGAATATGTATATGCATATTTTGCTTTCCATTTCAACTTTTAAAAATGTTACATTCATGGAGGCTAGATCCTGCAATAGAAAATGTTATATAGAAATGTTGCATTAGTTAAGAAAAGACCATTAAGCACACTCATGTAAATGAAAGGCTATAAAAAATACTTTATTTGTATGTTTTCACATGTCTGTACATTTTACAACAAAAATTAATCAGTGCATTTAAGTGATGAAGATCTCATTAGTTGTTGTTCTCAAACACAGTTGCATCTTTAATTGGAGCTGTTGGGAATAAGATCATCATCCAGTGCGCTGCTGATAAAACCCCTCAAGATGGGGTGTACCTGTACAAACAAGTAGGAGCAAGTAAAAATGAGCAGAAAGTCTTCTACTATTACAAAGATGGAACTTTTAGACCTATATCAGAATGGTGTAGGGACAAAGTCAAAGTAAATGGAACATTTCCCAACTTTAATGTCACCGTCTTAAATGTAAATGCCACAGACACTGGGTTTTACTGGTGTGAATTTAATTTGGAAGACAAAATATCAGTTGGCAAAGTCACATGGTTAGGGATAGGTAAGTGTGTCTTACACTTCATGTAAATAAATGTATTATCAAACATGATGAGTTTATTGTTGTCTATATGCATGTAAAACATGTAGTTGTGTATTTAGTATGTAAACTATGTTAATGGGAAACTTCTATGATGCAGAGATTGCAGAGATTGAGAAGTACAGTCATTTTCTAATTAATATTGAATGAAAAACAGCATAGATGATAGCTCTAATTCTCTGACCTTCATTTTATACTCTGTCATAGAAGAATCATTAGATAAAAAAACTAATAAAGCAGGAGAAGTAATAAGAAAAGGAGAAGCAGAAGGAAAAGATGAAGAAAAAGTGTGCTCAGAAGATATTCATCATCATGTGAAGATCTTTCTCATTGTGTGTGCTGTCATGTTGCTACTGTGCATCGCTGGTTTCATCTTTGTGATTCTGAAGGTAAGCATACATACATACACAAAAATAAGTATTGAAAAGCACAAATCAAAAATAACTAAACTTATAAACAACTGACATGTATTACAGATGTATGCTGCTATGTGTAAACATGCAATGTGCAAATGGTAGCTGCTTTTGATCATTTTTGTGGTTTGATTTGTTGTTGAAAATCTGTTGCTGTCTAATTGTTTTGCCATTCCTACACTCTGGGATGTTTTTTCTGGGATGTTCCAAACGCTCGTGTTTGTCCAAATAAGTTAAAGCTTTACATGTAAAATTAGTTATGCCGTGTTTACGGACCGCTGGATACTTTTGAAATGGTGCTCAAAAGTCAAGAGGCCCTGTAGTTTGTTCTCAAACTATTAATGGTTTCTGACATTAAGCAAAACGTGCAAATAAATAGATGAACCATTCATAATAGAACATGGCATAAGCCTTTAGTTAATTTTGGCTTCCTGAATCCTGAAGTGAAAATAATAAATGCATAAATGAATGCATTTGTTGCGTCTTGTTGAGAGTATATCAGCATTACACACTCAGAAAATCTATACCCTCACACTGACCGAGATGCAAAAAGCACTACAGATGTCTTTTAATAGCGGAACCACTTAACGGTTGACATAATCAACATAATGCACACCTCATCAACGGTGAACTGACTGATGGAATTAAAGTACAGAATCAAATTTCACTCCTCTGTTCATAATAAAGGCAATCAAAGTTATGTTGTCTCATTGCAAATTTTAAACTAAACATTGCAAGAATGGTAGGCTACTTGTTTGCACAGTGTGTACTTGACTCTCTGATGTTCATTTCTAAACTTGATTACCACTCTTAACCAATCATCTTCCTTTGCATTTGTGGTCATGTCTTCCTTTCTATAGCCTTAGAATGCATCAAACCAAACCACATTGACATGTTTCTAGCGCTGACTAACAATGAGGAAGTTTAAAAAGTATGCTGTGTGTGCAGATGAGGCTTTTATGTATTAAAAGAGCATATATTACATAACATGCATGCTGTTTTACTTACGATCCAGCTTGGTTGCATTTTTAATGTATTTGAATGTTTTTAATGTAATGTTTATATGTATGTAGCTGGGGAGGTGGCTAGTAGTAGAGGGCGTGGCCAGGCAGGTGGTTTGAGTTAAGCAGACATCTGAAAGGAGACCTGGAGACGATGTCCGATCTTTTTGTGTGGACGCACGCTGTCTGGTAGCACTTCCCTGTTAGTTTGTGCACGGACATGGTCTGGGTGAGCAGGTAGGCTAAGTGAATATCGATTGTTTTTATTAGCGATGGCGAAGTGAAGCGTTCTGAACCAGTGAAGCTTTCATCACAATTGTATCGGAAAAAGGTTCATTACTCAAAGCTTTTTAAAATGGTTTATGCTGTGGCCATCTAGTGGTCATAAAATAAATAACACCTTCCAAAGTGTTACGTTCCATTACAGCCAGTCGTTTCACATCTGGTTCTACAACTGATTTTTTTGTTTTATTATATTTTATATAAATAATGTTTATTGTCAAAGTCATTCATTTGTGTTGATGTACTTGCACTAAAATAAGTAAGATAAAAAAAAATGAAAAGCAGACAGCGTTGATGTTAGCTGTGTTTGAACCTAACAAAGCCTTGTTTAATTAAAGAAGGGTATTATGTTTTTAAGGTAGATGTAAACATCGTGGATTTGTTTGCCGTTGGTCACGCTCATT